GTTGGCTTATCTTTGATCCCTGGGTCGCACATGGTGGGAGAAGAGACTGACTCTCCAAGCTGTCCTCTGGCCTCAGCACCCATGCTCCTGTTCATTTACATGTGTGGATGCACACACACACACAGTGAACTTATAAAGTATTATGACTCTTAAGTGCCAGGTGTGGTGTGTGCCTGTAATCCCAGCAAGCAGGAGGCTGAAGCAAGGGCATCTTCAGTACACTCCCTTCAAAAGGGCCCTGCCCACCTCCCATCTCTTTCCCTCTCCCTTTCTCTTTCTCCAGTTTTCTCTCTCTGTCTTCCCCTCATTTCTGCTGCTTCTGTCCCACAGAGGCTGTCTCTCCCCTCCCCACGTTTCCATTCTCTTCTACCCTCCTCTCTCTCTCTCTCTCTCTCTCTCTCTCTCTCTCTCTCAATCACAATAACACCACACACACATTTTTCACTTCCTCGCTGTTATTGTCTGTCCTGTCCTATTTTCTTCCTGGTCCTGATTTTCCACTTTACCCAACTTCTGTCTCCAGCACAAGGAAGGAACAAAGGAAAAGGAACAACAGGGTGGTTCATTTCCCAGCACCCACACTGAGCAGTCTTCCCCCCATCTCTCTCCATTTTATTCATTTAGGGTTTTTTTTTTTTTTTGGTTTTACGAGACAGGGTTTCTCTGTATTGTTTTGGAGGCTGTCAGTCCAGCCTGGCCTCGAATTCACAGAGATCCGCCTGCCTCTGCCTCCTGAGTGCTGGGATTAAAGGTGTGCGCCACCAACGCCCGGCCCTAGTCAGGATTTCTTAATTGAGCCCAGAGCTTGATGATACAGACCAGGTTGCTGTGTGGTGGTGGGGGGGGTCCCCTTTCTCCAACTCCCTGTGAACTGGGATTCCAAGAGAGTTGTCATACCCACCAGCATTGAATGAGTTCTGGGGATTTGAACTCGGGTCTTCATGCTTGCATGCAAGCACTTTATCCACTGAGTCATCTTCCCAGCCCTCTCCTCCCTTTTAATTATTCTTTTCTTAGTTTTATTTCTATGCATAGGTGTTTGACCTGTGTATGTATGTGTGCCATGCAGAGGCCATGCAGGTATTGGGAACTGAACCTAGTCCTTTGGAAGAGCAGACAGTGCTTTTAACTTCTGGGCCATTTCTACAGCCCCTCCCCACCCACCTTTATTTTCAGACATGGTCTCACTCTGTAACCCAGGTCGGCTAGGAACTCACAAGTGTCCTGCCCCAGCTTCCCAAGTGCAGACATGAAACCCTACCACCCCTCTCTCCACCGCCACCACTTTCAGGCGGTGTGGCTGGGAACAATCGTCTGCCTCTTGGAGCCCACCTCATCAGATGGGGAGGATGGCTTCAGGAGACCCGTGGCTGGGAATCTTGGGCTAAATTCATCGATTTCTGTGTCAGGCCTGCAGGAGCGCTCAGTAGTGGCAGCAAGCAGCTCTTGGAAGCAGTTCCAGGAAGCAGGAGCCTTATCCTTTGAGGACCCAGCAGATGTGACCTTGACCTTGCTGGAGTGTGGGTATGCTGGCACCTGAAGGAGTCAAGAAGCTATCGGGGGCTGATCTTTCCACTAGAGATTGTGGGCTTTTTTTCCAGGCTGGGAGAGGAGGTGCTCACACACCTGTGCATGGATTTCCGCCAGCAGAAGCCAAGGCCCAACAGAGTGCAAGGGCCTGGGGAGGTCTTCGGTGACTGCAGACCATAGTTGTCTCTTAGCGTGGTCTTTCTGTGTGGCCCACACTGTTAGACCATCTCTTCCCACCGAGGGTTCTCAGCCTGAGCCCCTGCGTGGGAGAATTTGTCCAGACTGCCCTGAAGGAGTCTGCAGCACCCACTGCCCTGAGGTGCCACTGGAAGGATGTCATTCAACCTCTCATCTCCGAAGAACCCTCTGGAAAATGGAGTTTGCTGTTATTTGTGGTTCTGGGGATGTAACCCAGGTCCTTCCACACACTAGGGAAGTGATCTATCGTCCAACTACATTTCCAGTTGTTTTTGTTTTTGGAGGGGGGGATGGTTTTTTGAGACAGGGTTTATTTGTGCAGCCCCTGGCTGTCCTGGAATTCACTCTGTAGAGCAGGCTGGAGGAGCAAGAGTGATTCTGTAGCCCAGGTTACAGGACTCTCAATTCTCCTGCCTCAACCTCCTGAGTGTTGGGATCACAGTCACATGCCACCATGCTTGTTTTATTTTCTTGTGGTCATCTTTTTCTTCTGAGAACATGTGCACCCATGTGCGTGCATGCCTGTGGTGTGTGTGTGTGTGTGCGCACATTGGTAGGTGTTGATCTCAGGGCCTCTCATGAGCTAGGCAGACACTAAGCACTCTGGTGCTTCCTCAGGAACTGGGATCATACATGGCAGAGGTTAGAATTGAGTTTATCACTCACTTAGGAGAGGAACAGTTGATTCTGCAATGACTCACACAGAGGACCACACTCCAGGAGAGGTTGGGAGTGGCTTCCGGTATGCCAGCAAAGAGAGAAAATCAGCTGGCTGGTACTCTAACTCTCTGAACTCACAGGTTTTCACCCTAGCCTTTGAATCTCTAACACATAGAGATTTAGTTAGAACCACCTTTAGGGATTGCAACAGAGCCATTGTCAGAGGAAACAGAATTCTTCCCAGGTTACGATCTTAGCGCCAGACGCTAGTAGTCACTGTAACGAAGGTAAAACAGCAGAGTTCGGATCCGCAACATCTATGGAAAAGCTGGGCACGGGGCACAGAGACAGGCAGAGCCCTGGAGATTGCCAGCCAGCTAGCCATTCTAGCCGAATTGGTGAGCTCCAGTTCAGCAAGAGACCATGTCCCCCTAAAATAAAGTGCAGAGTAACTGAGGAAGAAACTCTGATATTCACAGCCACCAACATACACATGCACGCACACACATACGATACTTGCGAACACACATGTACACACGCCAGACACAAGGTACACACAGGCAGGCATGGTAGTGCATGTCTGTAATCCCAGCCAGCTGGAGGTGGAGGGAGATGGACTGGAACTTTGAAGCCAGCGTGGAATACACAGTGACCAAAGCCAGAGTCTGGAGATGTAGCTCAGTTAAGTGTTTGACCAGCATCTGCAAAGCCCTGGGTTCCACCCAGAAGAGAGAAGTCCATGTCGACACAAGGAGGATTGATTGGTAGTAGTCATTGGTGGGGGAGGAATAATTACCAGTTGGAGCAAGGTTCTTCTTGGGATGATAAAAATGTTCTAATTAGAGGTGATGGTTGCACAACGTAGTGAAAGCATTCAATGCCACTTATACACTTTCAGCCCCTAATGTCATGGTATCTAAACTGTGAACCCCCCCAAAAGTTACACGTTGGTCAGAAGGCTCAGTGGCTACATATACTCTGGGCCAGGCTTGACTGTCTTCATTTTGATCCCTGGAACCCACATGGTGGAAAGAGAGAACCAATCCTTCAAGTTGCCCTGTGACCTCCCCATGTGCACCATGTGTACGTACACACATAATGAACAAACAAACACAAGTTTTTGTTTTTGTTTTAGTTTTTGTTTTTTACAAGACAGGGTTTCTCTGTATTGTTTTGCAGGCTATCGGACCAGCCTGGCCTCGAACTCATAGAGATCCGCCTGCCTCTGCCTCCCGAGTGCTGGGATTAAAGGTGTGCACCACCGCCCGGCCAAACACAAGTTTTTTTTTTTTTTTTTTTTTTTTTTTTCGAGACAGGGTTTCTCTGTGGCTTTGGAGGCTGTCCTGGAACTCGCTTGGTAGTCCAGGCTGGTCTCGAACTCACAGAGATCCGCCTGCCTCTGCCTCCCGAGTGCTGGGATTAAAGGCGTGTGCCACCAACGCCCGGTCAAGCACAAGTTTTTAAAGTGTAATGCCACATACACACTTGATATATCTCTACTAAAAGTCCTTGCTAATCCACAAGTCACACCTAAGGCTTTAGAACTTCACATCCAAATTTTCTCACAAACCTCCACTGGGGAGTGAGAAAGGGAAGCGATGTTTACATGGTAGAAAAAAAATTAAGATGTGTGCCTGGGATTCGGCAGATCTACACTTGAGCAACCTTGCTCTGCCGTTTGCTGGCTGTGTGACCTCAGGTAAATCGCTTCAGCTCTCTGAGCCCATTTCCTCCTGTGTGAAGTGCATGGCAGCACCAGGCAGTGACAGTCCCCATACAAACCCAAGCATCACAAGACAACGAAGGCAGCAGCAATCATCTCCACCTTGTCCCCTTCTCCCAGGTGTCCAACAGGATAGATGCCCCAGCCCTTGAAGCTAGACTGTGGATGGAGGACCAGATTCTCAGTCAGGGCTGGGGAGGGCTTGTCCAGCAAGCATGAAACCCTGGGTTCAATCCCCAGCACTGTGTAAACTGGGCAGGGTGGGATGTTGGGGGGCACGCCTGGGGCTCACCTGCCACCCTGGCACTTGGAGATAAGCAGGAGCATCAGAAGCTCAGGGTTGGGCTTGGGTTAGGAGTGTGCTCTTGTTGCAGAGCACCAGGTGGCACCCCCAGCACCTCTGTGGTGTGTGTGTGTGTGTGTGTGTGTGTGTGTGTGTGTGTGTGTGTGTGTGTGTGACAACTACCTGTAACTCCAGCTCCAGGGAATCTGACACCCTTCTTGTGGCTTTTGCGGCATCTAAACTCAGCACATGCACACACTGACACATGGACATACACATGATTAAAAGTAAAATAAATCTTTTTTTTCAAAAGATATTCTGGGTTATCCTCAGCTACATAGCGGGTTGAAGGTTTTCTTCAGGTACCTAAGTGAATTCCAGGACAGCTTGAGACTTGGCAAAAAAGGAAAGAAAATAAGAGATTTCAAGGTCGGAAAACTCCAGAACCCATCCCCTTGGTGAGGAAATGCCAGCTACAAATCCATGACACTGTTTTCAGTGATCTCTGACTGGCAAATCCCTCGGGGTTGTTCCCCCAGCAGGCTCAAGGCCAGCCCACAGTGGTTAAGTGAAAAGCAAACAGCCTTATCGTGGAAGCGTGGGGCCCCCGACTATAAAGAGAGCAGTCACTTGAGTTCTCCCTTCACTCAAGATGAAACTCCTTCTGCTGATCACTCTGCTCACAGGTAGGACCCTTGTCCCCTCTGAGTTCCCCACCATCCCTCTTGTCTTCAATGCACAGCCCCTTGCTGGTCACACCTGAAGTTCTGATTTGCGGTTCCCATTGGGGCTATAGCCTGTGGATTGGGTTTCCTTCCTTTCCTCCATGTCTGCAAGACTGGCACCTTTATTCTGTATGTCTGAACTCAGATGACTCCTTAGACGAGTCCACTGCATTCACCTACCCAAGCTAAGAAAGGCCTCTCTCTGCCTCTGCCGTATTGCCCCGGCACCCGTTTCCCTGGCCCTAAGGTGGCCTGGCAATTTGGTTTTTCTCATTCTTTTAAAAAATGTTGACTTTACTTTATGTGTATGAGCGTTTTCCCTGCATGTGTGTCTGTGAACTGTGTGAGCAGAGCCTACAGAGGCCAGAAGAGGGGTCTGATCCTACAGAACTGGGGTCACAGACAGCTGTGAGCTACCATGTGGGTACTACATAAGCCTAGCAGGTGCTCGTGACTGCAGAGCTGTCTCTCCAGTCATCATCATTATCGTTATTACTTTATTATTATTGTTATAATTTTATAATGCAGCCTAGGAAATCACCCAACTCAACATGTATAGCCCAGACTTGCCTCAAACTCTCAAGTGTTAGGATTACATACATGCCGGGATTATGTCTACAATTCTTTATTTCTTTTCCTTCCTTGTTTTCATTGTTTTGAGACAGGGTTTCTCTGTGTAGTCTGGCTGTTCTGGAACTCACTCTTTAGACCAGGCTGACCTCAAACTCAGAGTTCTACCTGCCTCTGCTTCTCAGTGCTGGGATTAAAGGCATGCGCTACCACCGCCTGGTGTGTCTGCAAGCCTTATCTTGTTAATTCATTTATGTATTTTGGATTTTGGCCCCATCTACACACACACACACACACACACACACACACACACACACACACACACACACACAGACACAATGTTTTAGGTGCAATGACAGAGTCTAAAGAGTATGAAAACCATGAGACCTGCCCTTGGGAACTTCGTGTCTTACAGAGAAGGAGGGAGAATGTTAGAACATAGGTGTAAAGGGGATTAGAAATGCTATGAAGGCTGGAGAGACAGCCCAGTGGTTAAGAGCACTGAATGCTCTTCCAGAGGACCTGGGTTTGATTCCCAGTACTCATACCCATAACCTTCTGTGACTCCAGTTATAGGGTATCTGAGGCCCCCTTCTGGTCATCAGAGGCACCAGGCATGCAAGTGGTGCACATGGGCTTACGCATAAAATAATCTTAAAAAAAAAGAGAGAGAGAGAAATGCTATGAAGCAGCATGACCCTGAGTTAGGGTGGCTGGCACCCACAGAAAAAGCCAGGCACAGTGGTGGCACACCCCCATAATCTCAGCATACTTGGAAAATAGAGACAGGAAGATCTTTGGGGATTGCTGGTTAACAGCCATAGCCAAACAGCAAGCTCCTGGCTCATTGGGAGGCCCTGTCTCAAAAACTAGAGAGTGATTTAAGAAGACTCCAGATGTTGACCTCTGCATACATGTACACACACTCATGAGCATCAGCGTGTGAACACGAATACAAATAGAAACCAAAGTATTACGCAGTAAAAAGAAGACGGAGAGAAGTAACGGCAGAGGATCTCCTGGGGTGCGTGGCCAGGAAGGGCCTCTTTAATGGGGAAAGCACCGGAACCAAACTCCCTCTAGCCTTTCAAGATGTGAGATGACTCTGCCTGCATGGTGGCTGGTGCATGCCGGTAATCTTAGCATTCAGGAGGCTGAGGCAGGAGGATCAAGAATTCAAGACCAGCTTGGAATATAGGCAGTCCCTTAAATAAGAGCAAAAGATTAAGTAAATAATAAAAATTCTGCCCAAGCACTTGTAGAGAGTGTCTCAGAAGAGGCCAGTGTGTTGGCACTTCCGGCCTCTTGTTCATCTGTGACCTGGGCAGGCACGCGAGTGGAGAGAAGGAAGAAACGAGGTAGAGTCCCAGGCCACGGAAGGGAGAAGCTGCGGGTTGAGGCGCAGGAATGACACGGGGAGGGGGGGGGGCCGGGGGCGAGGCTGGGAGGGGGAGTCTGAGGGCAATCCAGGGCATTCCGTGTATTTATGAACACAGTCCTCCTGAAAGGGTACATGGAGACAAACCCAGAACTGACCCACACTGACCTGGCTTCAACATGAACCTCCTAGCTGATCGACTTCCTATTGGGATTTCCTGAGTGTGAGGGTGTGGGGACCACTCTGCGTTTCCATCCCCGCCTCTGTCTTCTCTTCCTCCTCCCCCCTCTAGTTCCTTCTTGTGAGGCAGGGGTACCACATGGCCTCACATGCACCATTCCATCCGGTGTTTCCTTGAATTTCTGATCCTCCAGGGATTTGGGGGATGTGTTTGTGGTGCTGGGAGTGGAGTTAGAGCTTCCTCCGAGCTTGACAAGTACAACCCAAACTGAACGGAGTCCTCAACCCCTTGCCTGGTTTGAGTGCAACCGGGTCTTATATTGCCTAGGCAGGCCTTGAACTTTCTTTCTTTTTTTTTGAGACAGGGTTTTTCTGTATTGTTTTGGATGCTGTCCTGGAACTTGCTCTGTAAACCAGGCTGGCCTCGAACTCACAGAGATCTGCCTGCCTCTGCCTCCCGAGTGCTGAGATTAAAGGCGTGAATCACCAATGCCCGGTAGCCGAAGACCACCTTGAACTTCTGATGCTCTTGCCTCACCCTCCATAGTTCTGGGATTACACACTATGTGTTACACTGTACCTGGCTTCTCCTTCATTTTAATGGCGGCCAAGTATCCTGCTGCAGATTGAATCCTGGCTTATTTACCTACTCCTCAGCTGATGAACAGTTTATGTCAAATACAGATGTTACACATGATGACCTGACCGTTAGCTTTATATGTGAGCCTTGTGTGGTCATACAACACATTCCTTCTAATTCTCCAGTGTAAAACAATAAGCATGTGTTGGCTGCTTCTCTGGTTCAAGGTCTCAGCTAGAACTGTGATGAATCCCACTGCTGGCTAAGGCTGGGGTTTCACCTAGGCTTGAGTGGAGGCGGAGCAGGTTTCACACTCAAGAGACGGTTGGGTTGTTGGGTTATTTAACTAAGAGGTCAGTACATCACTGACTTAAAAAGGTAGACACCTTCCTGCTCAGGCCAAGTGACTTGAGTTTGGTCTCTAAGATGTAGTGGAGGGAGAAACCAGCTCCCTAAAGCTGACCTCTGACCTCCTCATGTGTAGCATGACTATTATAAGTACTCCCAAGTTTGTGCTTTTAAATGGGTATGTGGGCAAACACACACACACACACACACACACACACACACACACACACTCCCATCTCTATTCACTGCTCTTCAGATGCAGCAGCTGGTAGGAGTCCAGGAGGAAGCCAGCAGGCAGGCATCAGACCCTGGTAAAGCCAAGTGGGACTGATGGAGTGTGCTGTGCATTCTTGCAGCAGGCGCCGCTGCACACAGCGTCAGTCGTCGGGCTCTATGGCAGTTCCGAAAGATGATCCAGTGCACCATTCCTGGGAGTAGTCCCTTGAAGGATTACAACAATTATGGCTGCTTCTGTGGTTTGGGTGGCTCAGGCACCCCAGTGGACGAATTAGACAGGTGAGTGAATCAGGTGGGGACTGGGGTGTCTGTGTTGGCATGGGAACAGGGCACAAACAGAGACTCTCATGAAGCATGAATAGGAGACAGACATTTTCACTAAGCATCACACACACACACACACACACACACACACACACACACACACACACACACACACACATATATATATATATATATATATATATATATATATATATATATAAATTTACTTGTTATTGTTGTTTGTGTTTTCCAGACAGGGGTTTAAACCTCTGTGTAGCCCTAGTTGTCCTGGAACTCTCTTTAGACCATGCTGGCCTTCAGCTCAGAGATCCTTGAGTCTCTTCCCCCCAGTGCTGAGATTTGAGGTGTGCATCACCACCCAGCATGTATTTTCCCCTCTTGTCATGTAGAGAAATCGTCCAAGAGAACCTTGTATCTAGTGGTCCTGGAAAGCAGAATGTGTGAGATGTAAGTAGTGGACAATGCTGCCATCTAGTGCCAGACTAGGGCATGGCCAAGCATCACAGCCACTGTCAAAAAGCATCACAGCCACCGTCAAAGTGTCAGACTTGGGTTTAAAAAGTCATCACAAATTCAGGACACATAATTTCACTATGCTTGAGAAGTTTTGTTTTAAAAAAATCACTTTTTTGAGACAGGTTCTCATTTATGTATCAATGACTGATTTTGAACTGATCCACCTGCCTCTGCCTCCAAGTACTGGTATTAAATTCCAGTACCAACTACACTTGGCAAAAAAACGGCTTTCAATGAACATATCCTAATACTGGGCGGTGGCTCCACAAACCTTTAATCCAGCACCGAGGAGGCAGAGACAGGTGGATCTCCGTGAGTTTGAGGCCAGCCTAGTATACAGAGTGAGCCCCTGGACACCCAGGGCTGTTGAGGAGAAACCCTGTTTCGAGAGACAAACAAACAAACAAACACCTAAAAGTAAACACATACATGCTAATAGAGATCACAGGTTCTCGAGTCTTAGGGCTCTTTCTTCTGGGACATCAGGTTTAGTAACAGTAACATGTGAGAAAGATGAACAGATTTGAAAAGAACTGACCTCGTGTGTGTCCATGCTCCTCCTCAGCTGTTCCTTCCTCTCTCCAGGTGCTGCCAGACTCACGACCACTGCTACACTCAGGCCAAGAAGCTGGACAGCTGTAAATTCCTCATAGACAACCCTTACACTAATTCGTACTCATACTCCTGCTCTGGGAATACGATCACCTGCAGTGGTAGGTTTACCTTCCGGGATGACTGGACTCGCAGGTTTGGAAGAGGCATGGAAGTAACAAGGACAGTCACCAATTTAGTGGACAGTTCCTTGGCTTCATTTGACCCCTCAACAACCTTATGAGGCAGACGCTAAAATATAGATGAGGTCACTGACCAGGAAGGAAGTTGAGCAAGGCTGGGCACTTGCCCAAGGCCACCCAGCTTAGAAGTGATGGCGTTCGGTTCTGGGACAAAGATCTGCATCATTCCAAAGCCTCTTCTTAAAAACATTTAAAGATTTTATTTGTGGTGGAGGCATGTCTGTGCCACAGCACAGGTGTGAAGATCTGAGGACACCATGCAGGAGTCTGTTCTCTCCTTCGACCATGTGAGTCCTGGGGATGGAACTCGGGTTCACACGTGGCAGCAAGTGCCTTTATTCCCTGAGCCATCTTGCCTGCCCAAAGCCTCTCCTATTAGCTGCTATGTTATGCAGATTCCATATTTACTAAACTATTAGAATCTGTGTCATTGGGTATAAGCCAAACACTGGATTAAACAGGTATTCAGGACAAGATTTATCGTTCCCATTTTACAGGTGAGGATTTAGAGGGCTGGGACTATGGTTCACTTGCTAGAGAGCTTGTCAAACCCTGGGTTCCACCTCCAGAACCCATACATTGAGTGTGGTGGTGCACACCTGCCATCCCAGCATTTGGGAGGTGGAGGCAGGAGGATTGTCTTAAAGCATATGATTTTAGAAGTGGTGGTTGATGTTTGTACTTTTCCTGGTTTTAGGGTCAAATACACAGGCTCATTTATTTTTATGTTTAGGAATGAGTCAGCATCCAGTGTCTTCTTCAGTCACTCTCTACCATGTCTTTAGAGGCTGGGTCTTTGACTAAACATGACACTCACCTTTAGCTAACCTGGCTGACCAACAAGTTTTGGGGATCTGTGCTCCCCACTTCCCAAAAGAGTTGCAGATGCCCAACCACACCTTGCTTTTCACGTGGACTCTGGGCATCCTAGCTCAGGCCTCGTGATTGCATGGAAACCACTTTACCAACTGTGCCATCTCCCTACCACACAATGATGAATTTTTAAATTTTTGTATGTGCCAGCAATTTGGGCAACGCAATGTCCTTTTGTGTGCTTTGTCTCTCAATCCCGAGTCTGCACCTGTGGGAGGGCCACCAGTGTCTTTGGTTATAAATTGTACAGAGCAGAGTCATGGCCTCCACTCAACTTCCTTTCTTGTTTCTCTGCAGACAAAAACAAACCCTGTGAGGCCTTCATCTGCAACTGTGACCGGGAGGCCGCCATCTGCTTCTCCAAGGCTCCATACAATAAAGAGAACAAAGACATTAAGTGTTAGACTTGTCACATCAACTGCTGCCTACACCACCCCTGCCTGCCTGGCTGTGTTCACCACACACTGTGCCCTCTAATAAAGCACCTATTGAAAGAACTGGGCTTTGGCGCCTGTATTCTCCATCTACAGAACATAACTAGATCCTCAGAGAACATCATTGCCTGTAGTCTTGGAAGCTGAGGATTAATGGGAAAGACATTGCCATTGGGGGAGCACCTTGAAGAGTGGGTGATGAGCCCAGCCATGCCTTTAACTCGGCATTCTGGGATGCAGAGGCAGAAGAAGGCAGATATCATGAGTTCAAGGCCAACCTGGTCTAAAGAGTTCCAGAGCAGCCAGGACTGCTACACAAAGAGACCCTGTTTTGAAAAACAGCTACAACAAAAGGATAACTCAGCCTGAGATACATAGGGGGTAGGGACAGGCAGAAGGGGATGGGGAGGGGAGAGATGAGGCAGGGACAGGGACAGGAAAGGAGGGGGAGGGAAGGAAAGAGAAGGAAGAGAGATAGGCAGAGAGAGAAGAGAGAAGCAGCGCCATCACATGGACACTAAAGGAACATCTTGGCCCTAGAAATAGTGGATTGAAAGAGCTTCTGCTGTGCGCTCATTATAGGAAGTCGGATGTTAAGACACCAAAGTGGAGTGACAGCAAATGACCTGAGGGCAGGATTTGAGTTTTCACTGTGCCTAAACAAATATGGAAGTGCACAGCAACCTAACTTTTTACAACAAACAAAAGAGAACACTTCGTCTTCTCTACCTTTCTCTATCATGGGACCTCCCAGGTGAAGCCAGGTTAATCTCTGGTTCCCTGGTGAACCAGAGCTAGGAAGAAGCTGTCTTATTGGCTGGTGTAAGGCTAACTGACTCTCAGTCTCTCTTTTCCTTTAGGGAACAGCTGCACAGTCCTCTGCCTTTCCACCCCCACCCCCATTCTGACTCCTGCCCGAACCTCAGGCCTTGCCCTCCCTAGGTCAGGCCTGGTGAGCCACAGGTGCAGCTAGAGGGCGCCCCCCCCAAGTGCAGTGACTGGAAGTCTCTGTTAGTGGCTGTCCAGAGTCTGCTGGAAGGGTAGGGGGATCCTGAGCATGCAGACAACCAACTCAACTCACCCCTACATGGTGTTTATCCAGGGAAGAGGTGAGAAGTGGGGAAAAGGGGGTGCTGGGGTGCTAAGGGGGAGGGAACCTGAGAGATGGCCAAACACAGAGACCAGAGGGCATTGGACCAGCAGACACTGTTCAACAGCCACCATGTGGTTGCTGAGAATTGAACTCCAGTCCTCAGCAAGAGCAGAAAGAGCTCTTAAGAACTGGGCCATCTCTGCAGCCCCTGTAGTGGTTGATGGTCAGCTTCACACACTGGGGAGGAAGAGCCTCAGCTGAAGGATTGCCTGCATCACATTTGCCTGTGGGCACAGCTGTGGGACATTTCCTTTCCTTGTTTTTTTTTTTCATTTTTCTGTTTTGTTTTTTGAGACAGGGTTCTTTGTGTATCTCTGCCTGTCTAGGAAGTCACTAGTAGACCAGGCTTGTAGTAGTAGTAGTAGTTGTTGTAAGTTTACTTATTTATTTTTTTGGTCTTTTACTCCTTTGGCTCTTTTGTTTTTGGGGGTGCATCACCAAGCTTCCAAATAAATGAAACGGAGTATTCTTCTTTCTTATGAATGTCCGGCCTTAGCTTGGCTTGTTTCTAGGCTGTCTTGCCAAATTCTGCCATCTACCTTTTGCCTCTGGGATTTCATCTTTCTGTGTTCTATATACGTGTCCTCACTTCTTACTCCATGGCTTGCTGTGTAGCTGGGTGGCTGCCCCCTGGTGTTCTCTGTCTTTTTTCTCATTACCCAATCTGTCCTCTGTATCCTTTTTCCTGCCTTGCTATTGGCCATTCAGCTCTTTATTAGACCAATCAGGTGTTTTAGACAGTCACAGTATCACAGCTTCACAGAGTTAAACAAATGACACATAAAAGAATGCAACTCATCTTTGTATGTATCTGTAAGCAAATGTTCCACAGCATAAACAAATGTAACACATCTTAAAATAACATTCCACATTTCCCACTTTTGCCTATATAAAAATGAAAGGTTTTAACTTTAACATGGTAAAATTATGTACAACAAAAACAATTATCAAGTCAGAATTACATTTACAATATTCAGTCCATTTATATTTAGCAAATTCAGAGAAAATACTCACTTATCTATCATATCTTACTAGCTCCAAAATTTTACACCTAATTTACTTTCTAACATAATTAAGGAAAACTACAACTATATCTAGTGTTCACCTCCAATCAACGCCCCAGAAGGATATAATACTATATGAGTTAACAGGAAGTGCCTTGCAAACAAATTCCAAAACTCTTGAAATGACAGAGACATCTGACTGTCTTGAAAGTCACCCAAAGTTCTCTGCAATGTTGGGCATCCATCTTCAGCCTACAGGCCTAGAGTATCTGACAGACTTTTCAGTGAAGCAGGAAAATTGAAGGACTGTCATTCCTTGTTTTGGCAAAGTTCAGTAGTCACTCTCCTGTGGGTCCTGCAAGTCCAGTTTACACAACATCCTGTCAAGCAGTCTAGGCGAGGGCAGTTTCTTGCAGAAATGGCTAGCATTGCCACCTTGAAAGCAAACTATTATGCAGTTTCTTTAATGCCCATTATCTTCTCTAAAGTAAATTGGTACTGCCAGGAGCAGATGTGTCTCATTGTGATGAAAAACCTTTTGTTAACAAAACATTTTCAGTGTCATGTTCAATAGGTCTTTGAAGTGCTTGAAGACCATTTATCTATCTAAATATGTCTATTTAACCTGGAAAACATACCCAATGTGACTACAATTTTGATTATTATAGATTAACTACTAACCTCATTTAAAAAAAAGATTTATTTATTTATTATGTATACAGTGTTCTGTCTGCATGCATCCCTGCATGACAGAAGAGGGCACCAGATTTCATTACAGATGATTGTGAACCACCATGTAGTTGCTGAGAATTGAACTCAGGAGCCTCTGGAAGAGCAGTCAGTGTTCTTAACTGCTGAGCCATCTCTCCAACCCTAACCTCATTTCTTAATTATACATTTTTTTGTTTGTTTTCCAGAGACTGGGTTTCTCTGTAGCTTTTGGAAATACATTTTTAATACCTGTTTTTTTATTTAAATGAGAAACAAGCTTGCTTCACATGTCAATCCCAGCTCCCTCTCACTCCCCTCCTCCCCGGACCACCAACCCCCTGCCCAATTCCAACTCCACTCTCCAGGGAGGGTGAGGCCCTTCATGGGGGATCTTCAAAGTCGGTCATATCGACCCTGGGCAGGGGTTAGGCCCTCCCCCATGTGTCCAGGCTGAGAGAGCATCCCTCCATGTGGTATGGGCTCCCAAAGTCCATCTGGATGCCAGGGATAATACTGATATATTGCCTGAGGCCCCAAAGAATGTCGAGACCACCTCACTGACACCCACGTTCAGGGAGTCTGAATCAGTCCCGTGCTGCCCTCTCAGCTACCAGTCTGGGGTCCATGAGCTCCCCCTTGTTCAGGTCAGCTGTTTCTGTGGGTCTCACCAGCTCGGTCTTGACCCCTTTGCTCATTGCTCCTCCCTCTCTGCAACTGTTTAACTGTGGGTGTCTGCCTCTGCTTCCATCAGCTACTGGATGGAGGCTCTAGGATGGCATATAAGGTAGTCATCAGTCACATTATCAGGGAAGGGCATTTAAGGTAGCCTCTCCACTATTGGTTAGATTGTGAATTGGTGTCATCCTTGTAGATCTCTGGAAATCTCCCTAGTGCCAGATCTCTCCTCAAACCTATAATGACTCCCTCTATTATGGTATCTCTCACCCTGCTCTCCTCTATTCTTCCCCTAACTCAACCTTCTTGCTCCCCCATGCCTTCCTCTCCCCTCTCTTTGACCCCTCTGTTCTTCCCAGCTCCCTCTCACCTCCCCCCATGCTCCCATTCCCCTCAGGAAATCCTGTCCTGTTCCCCTTCTCTAAGGTACCATGCACATCTCTCTTAGGGTCCTCCCTGTTTCCCAGACTCTCTGATGATTGGATTGTAGGCTGGCAATCCCCTGCTCCATGTCTAAAATCCATATATGAGTGAGTACATACTTGTTTGTCTTTTTGTGACTGGGTTACCTCACTTAGGATGGTTTTTTCTAGTGTCTGGAGATACAATTCTTAAATGAAATGCATTAAGTACAATACCACAAACAAGAGTAGAAACATATAATCAGTGTAACAAAAATAACTAAATTTGTATCAATATACTAAAACTCACATCAATGCAAATATATGAGATTAATAGTTGTTTTGTTATCCTTTAATCATATATTCCCCTAAATATAGCAAACGTCCATGACCCACCAAATAACCAAAGGCCTTCCACAACCCAACTCTTGGGAATGTGGGTGTCATTTTCTCTAGACTGCTCCCTGTTGTCTGTGGGAAAAGGAATCTTTAGGGGTCCCTGAGAAAAACTGAGGTAATGGTCAAGTACTGAGAAGACCAGTGGTGATCTTTTTGTTCTATAGCACCTGTCAAGATTCAGGAGTTTTCCTCCAGTTAAACCTGACCCATATCGATCCTGAAGGAACCCTACAGCCTCTCCTTTCCTGTGGAAATAAAAGCAAAGCCTCTTCTCCGAAGCATTTTTTGACTTGCATTTGACAAATACATTTTTGACTTCCATTCTAAAGGCATTCTTAAAATATCTAGGCTGGTTTATTTCAGCAGTACTTTCAATCCCATGTCTCTTGGCACCCATTGTTTGCTTATCAATAATCAAAAAATTCAAAGCCAACATAACTAACATACAGTATCCAGACTCCCTATGCTTTTCCCGTCTTGCATGGCTTTTTTCCTTTTATATTACTTTTACTCTCTCTTTAAAGGCTCCAAAAATTTTTTAACTGTTCATGTCTTTCTATGACTGTCCATTGCCATTTTCTTAAGCCCAAGCACACTGTGAAACACACTGGAACCTGTTTAGAGGTTTTCCCATCCTGACATCTTTTACTGTGTATCTTTTAGCCTTTTTTGACTCTGTGAGCAAACTTTATACTTCTAAGCTATAGCTGGGTCCCCCACACAGCTCTACGGACTGACTCCACTGGCTCGGCATGCTTCTAGGTTTGTGAGAGCCAAGCTTAAAGCTTGTGGCCTGGTCAGAGGTGTGTTTGACCAGGAACTGCATTCAACTCCCTAGCTGTGGAATTCCAGTGCCCTGCACCTTGGCAGGTGCATTCTCTCAGTTCTTTTTGTTTTTATTTAGTGTGAGCTAAGCTGTTTACATGCTCTGCTATACTATATGGCAGGACCTTTTAAAGGAGCTGTGTGTTTTTGTTTTTGTTGTTTTTTTTCTAACTTTCTCAGACCCTATGGAAATTTGAGCCCCATGTTGGGTGACAAATTGTAGTTTTTTTTTCTATTTTGGCTCTTTGCTTTTTGGGGGGCCACCACCCAGCTCCAAATAAATCACAGGGAGTCATATTCTCTCTTATGAGGGCCTGGCCTTAGCTTGGCTTGTTTCCAGCTAGCTTTTCTTAAATGATCCCATCAATGTTTTATCTCTTGGCTTTTGTTTCTCTATTCTATATGCCTTTCTTTACCTCTTACTCTATGACTTGCAGTGTAGCTAGGTGACTGGCCCTCAGTGTCCTCTCTCCTTTTCTCATTCCCCTATTTATTCTTTTTGCCTGTCAGCCCCCCATTCTTTTTCCTGCCTTGCTATTGGCCATTCAGCTCTTTATTAGACCAATCAGGTACTTTAGACAGGCAAAGTAACACAGCTTCACAGGATTAAACAAATGAAATAAGAAAGAATGCAACAAATCTTTGCATAATTAAACAAATGTTCCACAGCGTAAACAAACATAACACATCTTAAAATAATATTCCACAACAGAGAATACAGTCTCCAAAGCGCAGTTCTTTTCCTAGGTTCTTTTTTAGAGGGCTCAGCATGTAATGAAGACAAGCAGGCAAGCTGGAATGGTGTAGGCAGTAACTGAGATGACAAGTCTAACAGTGAAAGACTTTGTATTGTTTGTTGATGGAGCCTTGGAGAAGCAGATGGCTGCCTGGCGGTCACAGTGGCAGATGAAGGCCTCACAGGCTTTGTTTTTGTCTGCAGAGAAACAGGAAAGGAAGTTGAGTGGAGCCCATGGCACTGCTCCCTATGATTTGTAACCAAAAGACACTGGTGGCCCTCCCACAGGGGCAGACTCAGGGTTGAGAGACAAAGCAAACTAAAGCCATTGTGTTGCCAAAATTTCTGGAACACACTTATAATAAGAAATTACTTGTTTTCGGGCTTGGGAGATGGGTCAGTTGGTAAATCAGTGGCCATACAAGCATAAGCGCCTGAGTTAAGATGCCCAGAGTCCATGTAAAAAGCAAGGTCTGGGTCTGGAGGATGGTTCAGTGGTTAAGAGCACAGGCTGCTCTTTCAGAGGACAGGGGTTCAATTCCCAGAACCCAAATGGCAGCTCAGAGCTGTCTGTAACTCCATTTCCAGGGGATCTGAAACACTCACCCCAATATGCATAAAATAACGTTAAATAAATAAAAAAGCAAGCATCTATAATTCTCTTGGTAGTGGGGGTACACATCCCCAAAACTGTTGGTCAGTCAGGCTAGCTATATGTTTAGTGAGAGACCTAGCCTCTAGAGCCATGGTAGGGAGTGACTAAAGAAGACACATTAGTATACATAAAAATAAAGAAACCCACATATTTAATTCTAAAACCCAGAAAACTACAAATATTAACTATCACTTCCAAAATTATATGATTTAAGACAATCCTCCTGCCTCCACCTTCCAAGTGATTAAAACCTTCACTTTTTGTTTAGACAAAAAGGGGGAAATGTTGTCAGACATTTTGAATGTATTCTGACAAAAAAACTTGCTTGGAGTCAGAGGGTGGAACTAACCACTAGCTACCATAGAGATCTGGAGTTGTAGACAGAGAGGACACATAAGTGGTCAGGTGAGGAGGAGAGGGGATCTTGGCCTTTATGGAGAGAGGAACGGAAGAGGGAGGAGCCAGAGGGAGGAGCAACTGGTAGTTGCCCCCTGCTCTCTAATCTTTCAGGCTCTTACCCCAATATTGGACTCCCCATTTTTTTTATTGATAAAGATAAATTAGTGTTGGGTCCCGGCTCCCACGGACCTCTGTGAGTTGCTTGTCAGCTGATAGTCACAGATGAATCATGTTGTCTAGTCCTAGCTTACAGCCTGGCCTTGCCCCACTGACATCAACATCTAGTACCAGGGAAATGCGGACTTTTATGCCTGGGGTTTCTCCACTGTGCTCTAAGTCTGTATATAAGACTGCTCCCTCCTTGCAATAAAGACACACACACACACACACACACACACACACGCACGCACGCACGCACGCACGCACGCACGCGCGCACACACACACACACACACACACACACACACACACACATTCTCTTAGCACAAACGGCTGGACGTCTTGTCTTTCACTTACATCTCCAGGTTTTGTCCCATATGTTAGACTTGCTCGTGGTGCAGGCACCACAAGTTAAGTTAACTCTTCAGAGATCTACCTGATGCTGATACTGCAGGTTTTTTTTTAAACTTAGCTTTTTTATTATTATTAACTTAATGTACTCTCTGCTTAAGGGCTTGATGTAAGGCAAAAACTCCTGAAGTAGCCCCGAATTTTAAGTTTTCTTTGGCTCTAGGGATATTCAAGCTCACCTTGGTACACCAAAATGTTGTTGTTTTTACTCTTAACTCTTTGTGGGGCCTGTCACCCACCTCTCAAATAAATACATGGAGGGTTATTATTACTTATTAATGCCTGGCCTTAGCATGGCTTGTTTTTAGCCAGCTGCTCTTAAATTATCTTGTCTATCTTTTGCCTCTGGGCTTTTACCTTTCTCCATGTGTGTGTATCTTTTCTTGCCTTCTTATTTTGTGGCTTGCTCTGTAGCTGGTGACTGGGCCCCAGAGTCCTCCTCCTTGTGCTCCTCTATTTCCCGTCCCAAATTTCTCTTCTTATTTATTCTCTCTGCCCACCAGCCCCACTTATCCTTTTTCTTGCCTCACTATTGGCCATTCAGCTCGTTTCTAGACCAATCAGGTGTTTTAGGCAGGCAAAGTAACACAGCTTTGCAGAATTAAAGAATTGTAACCTGAAAGAATGCAACACATCTTTGCATCATTCAACAGATGTTCCACAGCATAAACAAATGTAAAACATCTTAAAATGATATTTTACAACAGGACTTCATCTATATTTAATACATACCTAGTAAGGCTGTTGTGATATCAAATGGAACCAAGGAAATGATGCTAAATGGTGACTGTCCTTGTCACTTCTGCACCTCTTCCAAACCCACTGAGGTCAAACAGAATCCAGAGGTCCCATAGGGTAAACCTACAACTGCAGGTAAATTAATTCCCAGAACATGAGTATGAGTAGGAGCTGGTGTAGGGGTTTTCTACAAGATATGTACAAATTTCCAGATTACTGCTCTGAGTGTAGCAGTGGTCCAGAGTACTGCAGCACCCGGAGAGAGGAAGGGACAGCTGAGGGAGGAGCATGGACACATATGAGGTCAGTTCTCACCTGCAGTCTTCCTCAATCATGTGAGGTTAACAATGTTTCAGAAGAAATGGCTCTGAGGCTCAAGAATCTGTGATTTCCATTAAGGATATGTTTATTGAGAGCAACTTCTGTAGAGTGTGGTGGTGTATGCTGTTCATCCCAGTACTGGGGAAGCAGAGGCAGTTGGATCTCTGGATTTGAGATCAGCCAGGAATATATGTTAGACCCTATCACAAAAAGTGTTTTTTTAAAAACAAAGCTACAGGAATACAGTGAAATTATACATTCCGGAGTTTCCATAAATTTAAAGCCACAGCTGACACTTTGATGGTGGCTGTGATTGTTGGCCGTGCCTTAGTTTGGTGCCTGAGGACAGCGATGCCCACTATTTGCTTCTCACACATTCTGCTTCCAGGATGGGGATTGGTCAGATTTCAATGCCGAGCTCAGATTGGCTAGAGCTCCTGCTCAATGATGGTTACTTTTCTGCACAGGGTTAGGGTCAGATTTGGCTTTGGTTTCAGGGCCAAAGTGTGTTTCTTTCACTGGTTCTTTTTAGCCTTTTGGCTCTAGTTTTAGGGCCAGAGTGTATTTCTTTCACTGGCTCTGATTCCAAGGACAAAGTGTGTTTCTTTGGCACTGGTTTCAGGATCAGGGTGTATTTCTTTGGTTCTGGCTGCAGGGCCAAAGTGTGTTTCTTTGGCTCTGCTCAGGGAGTGTTTCTTTGGCTGGCCCCTTTTCCCTTCACTCTGCCTCTGCCATATTGCCCTGGCACCCATTTCTTTGACCCTAAGGTGCCACTGGCAATTTGATTTTGTTCATCCTTTTAAAAATATCCACTTTTATGTATATGAGCATTTTCCCTGCATGTGTGTAGGTGAACTGTGTGAGCAGTGCCTACAGAGGCCAGAAGAGGGGTCTGATCCTATAGAACTGGGGTCAAAGCTAGTTGTGAGCTGCCATGTGGGTGCTGGAACTGAGCCTTGGTCCTACACAAGCTCAGCAAGTGATGCTGACTGCAGAACCATCTCTCCAGCCCTGATTATTTTTTACATGATCTTATAATATGACTCAGAATGTCCTCCAGCTCAACAGTGTTGCCCAAACTTGAAAGCTTACTGCCTCTACCTTCCAATTGTTATAATTACATACATGCCTAACTTGCTTCTACAATTATTTTTTCTTTTTTTTCTAAACAGGTTTTCTCTGTGTAGCCATGGCTGTCCTGGAACTCACTCTATAGACCAGGCTGGCTTTTATCTCAGATATCCACCTGCCTCTTCCTCCAGAGTACTGGTATTAAAGTCCTGATCCTCTTGCCTATGTCTCCAGATAGCTGGGATTAACCAGTGTGTGATCCTAATAACTACATACAGATTAGATAAAACTCCTACTATTGGTTCTCCTGTAACTAAGAGCTCTTCCAAAGAAGCCCCTCCTCATCCCCCGTTCTTTTTTGACAATACTGATCCCATCTCCTTGTCATAACATCTCTTGTTTAAAACCTTAATCTCTACATATCAGTTATTAAATAATGCCTTGCCTAACCACTTTAAAAAATGCTGATTGTTTGTCCCTCCTGGCTCAAATTCACAACCATTTGTGGCCTTATCCATTGTCTTATCAGACTTTCCTACCTTGCCACTTGTAAACTGCTCTGAGCCAAACGTAACTACCATCCTTATCTTTCCCGTCTCTCTTCAGTATCACAGCCTGCTTTAACTCCTCAGCCACACCTTGTGTGCACTCTGGATTCTGCAGATTACAATAATACCACAATGCTTAGTACTACCACACAGCCCCTATGTCCAAACATTCACAGTACTTTTTTAACTCTCTGTAACACACAAGTATACCACTGCCCACCTGCTAGGTGGACAGAGACATACGCCCCGGTGTTCCTTTCCCCTAAATTAGGGATGGTACCAGTTGAAGAGCCCTTGACAATTCCTATCACTAAATTTATGGCAACATGGAATGACATGAGTAATCCAGGTCATATCCTTCAGGCAGCCCTGGGCATAACTGCAGGGATAGCCACTGGAGCAGCAGGACTGACTACTTCTCTAAATAGGTACCATAGGCTTTCCTCATCCTTCAGTTTACCTAGAATGTTGCTTCTATGTCAAGCAGGTGTAGTAAAAGTTAAGATTCAACCTCAGACAGACCTTCATAAACTTAAGGAACAGCTTGATGCTTCTGGCCAGTGGATCACTAGTAATCCAATATAAAACTGGATGCTACCTTTCTAAAACCCTCTTCCCTCTATTTTCTTAATCCTACTAGTGGCACCCTGCCTTATAAACTTCTTGTCTAGATTCCAACAACAAGTTCAAAGGGTTTCTAACCAGACTTTCAACTGGTTGCCATTGCAGGATTACCAGTCCCTAGCTATGGAGCCAGAGAGCTGCAACACCTGGACACATCTGGACAAAGATGAAGACTGTCCCATGAACCTCGACACCCCAATTCAGCAGGAAGTAGTCTAATGATAACACCACCCCTTTTCCAAACCCCAATCAAAAAAGGGGGAATGTGGGGAAAAGGGGACAGCCAAAGAAACAAACCCTGAGCAGAGCCAAAAAACACACTTTGGCCCTGCAACCAGAGCCAAAGAAATGCACCCTGATCCTGAAACCAGTGCCAAAGAAACAGACTTTGTCCTTGGAATCAGAGCCAGTGAAAGAAATACACTCTGGCCCTAAAACTAGAGCCAAAAGGCTAAAAAGGACCAGTGAAAGAAACACATTTTGGCCCTGAAACTAGAGCCAAATCTGACCCTAACCCTGTGCAGAAAACTAACCAATTGGCAGGAGCTCTAGCCAATCTGAGCTCAGCATTGAAATCTGACCAATCCTTACCCTGGAAGCCCTATATAAACCCTGCGTCTGTTAAGCTTGTGGCTGTTTGTGCTACCACTGTGGCAGAGGGCAGCCATTCTCCTGGATTCTTCCCTCCCAGTAAACCCCTTGGATGAGCTTTGGGTGAAGACCTTCTTTTGCGCTGGAGCAGAGGAGAACCTGGGTAGAGCCGAGCGAGGGCAAGCGGGGCTGTAACACTTTTGCCTGGGAAACCTTCCCTTGGCAGAGTGGAGTTGTTAACACTCCGCTCTCCACTCTCCCGGGAGCAGAGCTGAACTGTAGCAACTTGGCCTGGGAAATCTCCTTCAGGAGCAAAACTGCTACACTGGGCAAACATCCCCAGCTAGAAGACCCTCGCCTGCTGGAGCAGAGCCAATGCACTGGGGAAGCCTGTCCGTGAGACAGTGCTGTAAGATGCTATGCTTACTGAGGCCTGTGGTGGTCCTTGGCTCCCGATCTTCAGGATACCTTTCCATCTGAGCTGTGTAACACTTGGTATTCCCTGACTCCTAAGTGCCAGAATACCTGTCCCTCCTGATCTGTCCAAAATGTTTACACAGAGGGTCTTTCTTTGCTTGGACAGTGGACTTTTATAATGGGTCATCTGAGTTTAGATCCAGAGACTACAGGTGCTGGCTGTTGTGGACATGGGGGAGAGGAGAGAACACCAACCCAGAGGCTGTTAGACCCCAATGGGAACCCAAAACCAGAACTTCAGGAGTGACCATTGTGTGCTATGCATTGAAGACAAGGGAGATGGTGGGGCACTCAGAGGGGACAAGGGTCCTACCTGTGAGCAGAGTGACCAGCAGAAGGAGTTTCATCTTGAGTGAGGGGAGGACTCAGGTGACTTCTCTCTTTATAGTCCTGTGGCTGTGCTCTGACAGTGTCCAGTCAGCACACGGGGCCTGTGACTACTGTGTGTAGCACAGAAGTAGAACATGTCCATCCTCACAGCTGTCAGAGCTACTGTAGATGGTGGCAGAGCCTGGATCAGTGCTGTCTGTTGTCTGATATTCTGTTTGTGTTCTGACAAATAAAGCTTGCCTGGAGATCAGAGGGCAGAGTCGGCCACTAGTTAACCATAGAGGCCACGGTGTGATGGTGCATGCCTTTGATCCTGCATTGGAAGAGTGTAGAGTCTCTGATGCTGGCTGATCTGCTTCTCTGATCTTTCAGCTTTCACCTTTGATATCTGACTCCAGGTTTTTATTGTTAAGACTAATTAGGCTCACACTTCAGCTGCCACAGAGGGAAAGAGAAAGTTCTGCCTCAACACCCCAACCAGATCACGTGCAGTGACTGACAAAGTGCCAAGTCCCTCCCCCATGGAGGCTTTGGGGTCATAAGAAGATATAGACATCGTTCTTAGTGTTGGGTCTGAGGGATGCTGATAGCAATATGTGGTCTCAGGCAGGAGTAGCTGACACCAACAATCTTCCATGTTAACTGTATAAAGTAAGTACTGAGTCTGCCCCAAGACCTGACACAGCCTTTGAGGCAGATCCAGTTACAAATTTGATTTTAATTAATTAACAAACTAATATGAGAGAGAGAGAGAGAGAGAGAGAGCACACTTGGAGGTCTGAGGACAACTCTGTGGAGTCAGTTCTCTCCTACCTTTAAATGTGTTTGAGGGATTGAACTCAGGTCAACAGGCTCGCATCTTAGGCTGCTTGTTAGTAGCCCACAATCTCCATCAGAAAACTGGTAATGTAGGCAGATGGTGGTGGCGGTGCACGTCTGTAGTGTCAGCACTCAGGACAATATTTGAGTTGGAGGCCAGCCTACTCTGCAGAGTGAATTCCAGGACAGTCAGAGATATACACAGAAACAGTGTCTTGAAAAACTACAAACAAACAAACAAATAAGACAGACAGAGAGGGAGAACAAAAGGAAGGAAGGAAGGAAGGACAGCAAATGCCCAGCAACTGTGACCACAGGCCAATGTGATGCAGGCAATCCTTCAGCTGAGGCTCTCCCTCCCCAGTGTGTGAAGCTGACAATCAACCAGTACAGAGCCTGGAGAGATGGATAGCACTGAAGAGCACTTTCTGCTCTTGCTGAGGACTGGGGTCCATTTATCAGTAACCACATGGTGGCTGGTGAACAGTGACTGCTGGCCCAATGCCCTTTTGCCTCTGGGTTTGGCCATCTCTCATGTTCCCTCTAACATAGCACCCCATCACCTCCTTTCACCCACTTCTCACCTCTTCCCTGGACAAAAATCATGGAGTGGGTGAGTTGAGTTGATCCCCCTACCCTTCCATCTGTCCTTTGTACAGTCACTAACAGCCTCTACCAGACACTGCACCAGTGGGGGGCTCTAGCTGCACCTGTTGCTCACCAGGCCTGATTTGGGAGGTGCAAGGCCCAAACTTTGTGACACTAGTGGGAATAGGGTTGGGGGTGGAAAGGCAGAGGAAAAGAGCAACTGAGAACCATGTAGCCTTAAACCAGCCAATGAGACGTCTTATTCCTAAATCCAGTTGAGCAGGAAACCAGAGATTAACCCGGCTCTACATGCAGATAGAGAAGGTAGAAGAGATGATGTGAGATGATGTGTTCTCTTTTGTTTGTTCTAAAAAGTTATACTGCTATGTACTTTAGTGGGACAGTTATCCTTAGATTTTTGTTTAGACACAGTGAAGACTCAAAGGTCACCAGGATGTAATCCTGCCCTCAGGTTATTTACTGTCACTCCACTTTGGTGTCTTAACATCCAACTTCCTAGAATGAGCGTACGGAAGAAGTCCTTTGAGTCCAGTATTTCTAGATCCAAGGAGTTGCCTTTGGTTCCCATGTGACACTTCTTTCTCCCCTCCTACCTCTGATTCTCTTTCCTTTCCTCCCTCCCCTCATTTCCTGTCATTTTCCCTGCCTCATCTCTCCCCTCCCCTTCCTCTTCTGTCTGCCCTGTCCCCTATGCACCTCATCCCGAGTTCTTTTTTTTTTTGGTTGTTTTTATGAGAATGGGTTTCTTGGTATAGTAGTCTAGGCTGTCCTGGAACTTGCTTTTTAGACCAGGCTTGCATTGAACTCAAGAAATCTGCCTGCCTCTGCCTCTTCCTCTCTATCCCAGAGTTATGGGAGGAAAGGCATGGCAAGGATCCCCTAATGGCAATGTCTTTCCCATTAACACTTAGCTTCTATGGCTAGACATAATGATATTCTCTGAGGATCTAGTTCTGTTCTATAGACACAGAATACAGTCACCAAAGTCCAATCTTTCAATAGATGATTTACTAGAGGACACAGTGTTTAGTGAACACAACCAGGTAGGCAGTGATGGTGTAGGCAGTAAGTGAGGTGACAAGTTTAACAGTGAATGCCTTTGTACCGCTTGTTGTATGGAGCCTTGGATAAGCAGATGGCTGCCTGTTGGTCACAGTGGCAGATGAAGACCTCACATGCATTGCTTTTGTCTGCAGAGAAACAAGAAAGGAAGTTGAGTGGAGCCCGTTATCTTACTCTATATAATTTATAACCAAAAAACACTGGTCGCCCTCCCAATTGTGTTGCAGACTTTAGGGTTGAGAAACAGGCCACACAAAAGGACATGGGGTTTTCCAAATTCTGGAACACACAAAAAATAAAAAAATCATTGTTGTGGTGTTGGGGAGAAGACACAGTTGGTAAAGCAGGTGCCATACAAGCATGAGGGCCTGACCGAGGATGCCCAGAGCCCATGTAAAAGGCAAGGTGTGCTTGGTGCATCTGCAACTCTATTGGGAAGTGGAAAAAACAGATCCCAACAACTTTTTGGTCAGTCAGGGTAGTCAAAGGTGAATCTCCTGTTTAGTGAGAGACCCAGCTTCTAAAGGCATGGTAGAGAGTGACTGAAGAAGACAGAGGATGCCAACTCATTCCTATACATAAAAATAAATAAACCCGAGTATTCAATCCTAAAATCAGGAAAACTACAAACATCAACTACTACTTCTAAAATTATATGATTTAAGATAATCCTCCTGCCTCTACTTCCCAAGTGCTGGGATGCCGGTGTGCGGGGCCACACTCAATGTATGAGTTCTGGAGGTGGAACCTAGGGCTCTGTGTACACTAAGCAGGTCTTCTATCAACTGAGCTACTTTCACAGCCTACAGAATCCTCATCTGTAAAACGGGAATGATAAATCTTTCCCTGCACAGGTGTTTAGTTCAGTGGTTTGCTTATAGCCAATGATAGCAGCTTTAAGTTGTTTAGTAAATGTGAAATCAGTGTGACATAGTAGCTAATAGGAGAAGTTTTGGGCAAGCAAGATGGCTCAGTGAATAAAGGCACTTTGCTGCCATGTGTGAACCCAAGTTCCATCCCCAGGACTCACATGGTTGAAGGAGAGAACAGACTCCTGCATGTTGTCCTCAGAGCTCCACACCTGTGCTGTGGCACAGTTATAACTCCACCAAGAAAAACATAAAATATTTAAATGTTTTTAAAAAGAGGCTATGGAATGATGTAGATCTTTGTTCCGGAACCAAATGCCATCACTTCTAAGTTGGGTGGCCTTGGGCAAGTGGCTGGACCTTCCTCACATTTCTTACCAGGGACCTCATCTATATTTTAGTGTCTACCTGATAAGGTGGTTGTGATGTCAAATGAGATCAGGGAAATGCCCACTAAATGGTGACTGTCCTCGTGCCTTCCCTGCTTCTTGCAAGCCTGTCCAGAGTCCCCATAGGGTAAACCTACCACTTCAGGTGATCTCATTCCCGGAGCAGGAGTATAAGTAGGAGGTGGTGTAGGGGCTGTCTAGGAATCTGCAGCTTTCCAGCTCCTGGGCCTGATCGTAGCAGTGGTTGTGAGTCTTGCAGCACCTGGAGAGAGGAAGGAACAGCTGAGGGAGGACCATGGACACACAGGAGGTCAGTTCTTACCTGCAGTCTTTCTCAAACAAGTGAGGATGACTAAAACACAATGTTCCAGAAGTAATCATCATTGGGCTCAAGAATCTTAGATTTATATTAAGCACATGTTTATTGAAGTCATCTTCTGTGGAGTGTTGGTCGGTGCTCGACTTTAGTCCCAGGACTTGGGAAGCAGAAGAAGGTGCATCTCTGAGTTTGAGACCAGCCAGATATACAGAAGAGACCACCCAGGGATACAGAAGTGAGACCCTGTCTCAAAAAAGTGATTTTCGAACAAAGCTGCAAGAATAGTTAAATTATGTACTCAGAAGTTTTTATGACTTTTCAAAGCCAAGTGTGACACTTTGATGGTGGCTATGATGGTTGGCTGTGTCCTAGTCTGGCAACTGAGGACAGCATGGTCCACTATTTACATATCACACATTCTGCCTTCCAGGACCACTAGATACAGATTTTTTGCACAGATTTTTTACATGACAAGAGGGGAAAAATGCATGCTGGGTGTGGTGGTGCAGACCTTTAATTCCAGCACTCAGGAGGCAGAGGCTGGAAGATCTCTGAGTTCAAGGCCAGCATGGTCTCCAGAGACAGATTCAGGAAACCTAGGCTACACAGAAATCCCCTGTAGGAAAACAAGCAAATAAAATTAATAATTAATAGACAAAACAAATATATGATGTTTGGTGAACATGCACATCTCCTGTTCTTGCTTTAGGACATGTTCTCCTTATGCCCAGTCCCCACCCCACACAGACTCTGCAGTCTCCCACCAGATGGATCACTCACCCGTCTAACTCATCCACTGGAGTGTTTGAGCCTCCATAGCCACAGTAGCAACCATAGTTGCTATAACCCTTCAAGGATGACCATCTGGGATGGTGCACTCCATCACATTACCGAATGGCAACAGAGCCTGAGGGCTGATGCTATGTGCAGTAGTGCCTGCTGCAAGAATGCACTGCACATTCCAGCAGTCCCACTTGGCTTTACCAGGGGTCTGATGCCTGCCTGCTGGCTTCCTCCTGGACTCCTACCAGCTGCTGCATCTGGAGAGCAGTGAATAGAGGTGTGAGGCGGTCAGAGGAGTTGGTTTTCTCCCTCTGCTGTGTAGGTCATGGAGGCCAAACTCAAGTCACCAGGCCTGAGCAAGTTGGTGTCCACCTTTTAGAGACAGAGAGCTGCCCTGTATCCCAGGCTAGATTCCCTGTCTGTAGCAAACC